TTTTTTTTTAATTGTGACGAAATATATGAGTTTCATCATCCTAAGTTGTAGAATGCAAATGATAACTTGGGAGATTTTAAGAATTAGGAATTTAGGACTTGGACTTTGTATTCAGCCTCTATTTCATTGTGGTTTGATTTGATCCACTAGTGTTGGACAGGGTCAGAGGGTAAAAACCGGGTTTGGGCTTGCATTTTGGGCCTTTTTCATACAAACTGAGATCGAGGCCCATGGAAGAAACTTCCCCCTATTCCTGTCTTTGGTGCACACTGCTAAATCCAAAAATTGTTTCATTTTGTTTTTCCCCCTTAAAGATTGAACGCAACCCCTCAAATATTAAAATTGAAAATTGAGAGGATAACTTTGGAGATTTTGCAATTGTTTGCAACTTTGAAATGACAACAGAGCCGCCACGCAAAGGCCTCCAATAACTTAGGCGAAGGGAAATATTATATTCAAGTCATAAAAAATACGACTTACATGAGTTCAGAGATTAGCTTATATGCTGTAATTGCACCAAATTAGAGATTCTTTTTCAGTTTGCGCCTTCATTTTGGATGAATCTGCAAAGTTTCGAGGTGAGTTTTCGGAATAAACACTCCGATACTTAAGTCAGCAATAATCGGATCTATCTCTGAACTAATAAAAAATGAGTTTTAGGTTAGTTTCAATTACCTTTTTGAGGTAGCCCATAAGGGGTATTTATAGGCTTTCGTGAGGTATTACGTGGCTTGCTTAGTAGAATACTCGGAGTGTGACGTATCCCTTAAGGAGATAAATTTGGGATTGGTGATAAATTCGAGACTAAGAAATTGTGTGATAAATCAGATGTGGGCATGTCTACTGTATTTATCATATAGCCATTTAACAGAAAGTATTGGATTTAACTTCACTTTGACTATTAATAAATTATTATAGTATGTCTAAGGTTAAGGATCTCGAACCTATCCTTACATATACTTTTTTTTTAATGAACATTTTGACATAAAGTAGGTTCAAAACCACCCAAGAAAAAAAAAAACATATGTACAATATTCAATATCATTGGGCGTCTAAGGCCATATGCCAGATATTAGCTTATATTAATGCAAAACAAAAAATATAAATAAATAAAAATCTTCCAGCAAAAGCAGAACCCTTTATTAAAGAGTAATGATAAACGGAACGACGACGAAGGATGAAATTGAGAGACGACAAGTATTATAAGAATTTATGCATGTAATGTAATTACTAATTTAATCCTTACAATACTTATCGTCCCCAATTCCATTTCCCGGCGTCGTCCCGCCTATCATTACTCTTTATTAAATGTACCACGCATCTCACCAAACGGTTGAAAAACCGGAAGCACAACAAAAACGTGTCTTCCGTACACCAAAAAAACCATAAAACGTGTCCACCTAGTTATTGCACCAAAACACAAAATACTAGCATTAAAAAATAAAATACCAACGACCTATTAAATCTGCACGGAATAAATTTGATTTTTTTTAAATAAAAGATTTTTTTGATTTATATTTTTAAAAATATATTAAATATATTTTTTTATTATAAATGTACATAAAAAATAAAAAAAATTGATATTAATTTTAATATAAGATGAATTTAAGTAGACATTTAATAAATTAAAGATTGATTTTTATGGTTTTAATATAAATTTATAACGAAAATGTGTATTTAATATATTGTTAACATATGTTTTAAAAATACAAGTTAAACAAACTCTTAAATAAAATCTCAAATTTAAATTCTGTGAATGAAAATAAGCATTAAAAAAGCTCTCTCGTTATGGGATCTAACATTATTCAACTCTAAATTAATTAAGGTGTAATGTGATAGAGTTAGTAAAAAAATTAGAATTAAATAAAGAATGAGAGAGGTTCTTAGTTTGAGTAAGTCAATGATAATAATTTAAGTAATTTAATAATAATTTTTTAGATTTGTTTAATATAAACTCTGTATAGGTTAAGAGTGTAATAAATATATTTTTGTAATTAATTCATATTAAAAATTGTAAATTTTAATATATATTTTAACACCATTAACACATGGATGACTTTAATTTATTAATTAATTAAACTAAAATCAACATTTACACTCTCAATAAAAATTAATTATAAAAAGTACATTTATTATATTTTTATCTTATGCTTTT